GTGTGTGTGTGTGGGGGGGGGGGGGGGGGGGGGGCACTCACAGCCTCGCCTTCTCATACCTGGAGAAACAAAAGCACAATGACTCGGAGAGTTATCTGCCTCGGCCCCCTCCCTGCCAACCCCCCCATGATGTCTTTGACAGGCCGCACCCCCGTCCCTGGAAGGCAGATGATAAAGTGCGCTGACACATCCTGCTTGCCACTGCGTCGCTAAGCCCCCCCCGCTAAAGGGGAGGACAGCTTGCAGGATAAGTTTCTGTCTGTACACCTGTCCATGTGTGTTCTGTGTATGCCATGTGTGTGGCATGTGTGTGACATGTGTGCAACATGTGGGTTGTGTGTGCAGTGTGTGTGTGGTTTCTGTGCGACACATGCAACACGAGTAGCATGTGTGCGATATATATGCGCCGTGTGTGGCATGTGTGCAATGTGTGTGGGTGGCGTGTGTGTGTATGATGTGCAGCTTCTGTACAATGTGTGTGCAGCATGTGTAACGTGTACGATGTGTGTACGAAGTAGGATGAGTGCGGCATGTGTGCAATGTGTGTATGAGGTGTGTGTACGAGGTGTGATGCATGTTTCCCGTGTGTGCCATGTGTGATGTGTCGTGTGTATAAGTTGTGATGTGTGCGGCGTGTGTTCCATGTGTGTACGAGTTGTGACGTGTGCGGCCATGTCTACTAGGTATGATGTTTGTGGAGTGTGTGCCGTGTCTACGTGGTGTGATGTGTGCGCTGTGTGTGCCGTGTCTACGTGGTGTGATGTGTGCGCTGTGTCTACGAGGTGTGATGTGTGCGCTGTGTGTGCCGTGTCTACGTGGTGTGATGTGTGCGCTGTGTGTGCCGTGTCTACGTGGTGTGATGTGTGCGCTGTGTCTACGTGGTGTGATGTGTGCGCTGTGTCTACGTGGTGTGATGTGTGCGCTGTGTCTACGTGGTGTGATGTGTGCGCTGTGTCTACGTGATCTGATGTGTGCGCTGTGTGTGCCGTGTCTACGTGGTGTGATGTGTGCGCTGTGTCTACGTGGTGTGATGTGTGCAGTGTGTGCCGTGTCTACGAGGTGTGATGTGTGCAGTGTGTGCCGTGTCTACGAGGTGTGATGTGTGCAGTGTGTGCCGTGTCTACGAGGTGTGATGTGTGCAGTGTGTGTGCTCTGGCCTAAATGTTAAGAGCATCGGCTGCAAGTGAGTGGCTCGCAGGTTGCCTGTAAACCTTTGTTCTGCTCACGTTTCCTTCCTGAGGTTCCGGTCCCTCATCCACCTCGAGTAGTTCACACGGACTCTCTGCCAACATCACTGGAATACAAATGAGGCCATTACTTTACTCTGATGGGCTGTGTACCTGCCCTTTAATGACACTTCACAGGTAATTAAATTATGGCTGTTCTACTCTGGTCCCTCCCCAATTTACTCGGGTGTACTGAATGTTATGGGCTGCATGGCAGTGGTATGCAAAGTCCGTCTGTCGTTTATGCCTCTCGACAAGGTGGTCGGGATGTACAAAGCTGTCGTGGCAGTCTGATCATTGTCTGGGTCAGATGTGGGTGTGGTCTGGACCTGATGTGGGTGTGGTCTGGGCCTGATGTGGGTGTTATCTGGGCCGGCTTGTCGTCTTTCATTTTGGACCTGTACCCTGATGCTCGTCAGTTACTCGTCTTTTCTATCCGATCTTGGTCTTGCTGTCGTGCAGTGGACCTGGGGTATGCCCCCCCCCCACCCTGGCAGGGAATTCTGGGTAATACACACCGGATACATTCAGGAGGCGGCTGGATCGCAGAGCCAGCCTTTGATTGGCAGCTGGTGTTGCCGGCTCCTCCCAGGAGAGCGGCTGCGATCATCCGCAAACAGCCGCTTAAGCCGTGCCTGTTTACCCGTGTCACCCGCGGGGATGGAGCGAGGGCCTGCTCCGCGTGGCTCCGTCCTTCTTAAAAGACGGGAAGGAGCTTCTGCCGCCGTGGTAATCGGCCCGCTGCCGCCGGCACATTTTTTTGTTTTTTGTGCGATGCTGACGATGGCCTGTTAGCTTGATGAATTGGCTGCTGATGCTGTTCTCATACCTCCATCTTGAAAAATATCTGTTCCTCACTAAACCCCCCCACCCACAGATGCAGTCCTGGTTTGGGACGTTCAACCCGGACAGAGAGCGTCGGAAGGTAAGCGATCTCCCTCTTCTGGCCTCTGGCTTTGTTTTTTTTTTTTCCCCCTCTTACCCCATAGTCCCACACGCCCCATCTCCCCCCCCCCCAGGTAAGGGGATCAGCGGGCTCAGGACAGGCCAGCCTCTCTCAGGCTGAGCTCCCGCCGTAAGCCTCTGACAATCCGCTCAGGAAATCCGATCTGCTTCCATAGGCTGCCCCCCCCATCCTCCCGCTCTGCTCAGCCGTACAAAAACACATCTGTTCCCCCCCCCCCCAGTGTTGTCACGCCACCGTTCCTCGCAGCCAGCGATGTAACGTGACACCAGCCGTGGCCCATCTGTTGCCGAGCTCGTGCTGGCCCTGCCGGAACGCAGGCCCCCCCAGAGGAGCCCGGGGGCGACTACACCGCCCACCTCCTCCAGGAGCCCGCCTCGTGGCCCCCCGATATCCCTGAGTGTTAAAAGCTCATGGATGTGCGTTACCAGCAGGTGGTTAAGAAGCTGGGGGTGGGGAGAGGGGGGGCTGCCTCATAATGTCCTGTGAAGCAGCTTCTCCTTAGAATTAAAATGGAGGAATGACGCGGGTGCAGAGGTACCCCGTATACAGGGAGCGAGATTCGGACCAGAGGGGCGTGAGGGTTTTTTGGAGCAGGCGGGTTCCGATGACGGGCCTTCTCCTCCCACCTCGATCCAGTTGTGGGCGAGAGTGTGTCGGCTCAGAATGGAGGTGGGTCTGTTTGATGTGTCGGTCCTCTTTCATGTATGCCGAGGAGGAACGGCGCTTTTGAAGGGAGCAGATGTGAGCTGGGACTGAGCCCTGTTGCCGAGACGTTACCCTTTTGCCGTGAGGCCGTACCCCCCGCTCTCCTTCTCAGAGACCACACCCCCCCATCTCTATTTGCCAGACTTTAAAGACCGGTTGCCTTTGTCACCCCCTTTTACACTGTAATGGTGATGTAATAGGAGCAATAAAAGAATTAAATAAAACCAGTGCAGATGAGATACTGGGTGCCCATTAGACTGACCCTTAAATCCTGGGTTTTCCAGGTTGGGTGGCAGCTATTGGTGTGATACTGGAAAAGGCGGCGGACCCTTAGCCCCAGTGCACTTGTCTTAATAACATGTCAGACTGGATTACAGTTTACAGATCTCAGATCAGAGGCTAAAGACGGGCAGGGGAAATTAGC